TTTTAGTATATAGGCCAAAATATACCAGCATGATTTGAGATGAGAATCTAAGTTGTTCATCTGTGGCGTCAGTAATCGACACCAAGAATTATACTTCAGAACAGTGTAGCCGAAGAGATCCTACTAAAGGTTTATGATTTAACTTAGTCAATTTTTACTAATGTTTTAGTATATCAAAAATTGGTCTCAGAAACAAGGTCAAAAGTTGTCTGTTTATAGAAAAAGGTGCTCAATAAGTTCGGTGTGCTTTTCTGGATTACACAACGGCTTTTGACTCTGTGCCTAGAAATCTTCTGTTAAAAAGGCTACATACTGGATGCTGGATTTATAAATTGCTACATGCTTATTTTTCTGGTAGGAAGCAGAACACTGTGTATAAAAGAAAACCACCCAATACTTTGTTTACTGAGGTCGGTGTCTGTCAAGGCCCTGTCCTTTCTATTTTCTTTTCTTCTTTCTTCTTATATGATTTAAGTCATTCTGATGAAGCCAATTTTGTTAAGTATGCTGGTGGCCTAATTGTTTCCACGCCTGTTACTTTCGAATAAGACTGTTCCAAAATTAATGAATTTTTATCAGAAATGAGCAAATTGTCTTTGTCGAATAGTCTTAAGATAGATCTCTCCAGATTCCAGATTATTAGTTTCACTTTCAGACACAAACGTAATTTACACGAACTGGTTCGCTGCAATGGTTCTTGCATCATAGACAGCACTGAAGTTAAAACTAAGGTGAATGTTAAGTATCTTGGGTTATATCCTGTTCTGATCTTTCATGATTGATTAACATCCTGTTGATTTCTAGATAAATATTCTGTCTTACCTTCTACGTAGGGAAAATTATGAAATTTGGTATCACTCAGCCTCTGCTTTACAGTTGATTAACTCTTGCATCCTACTTATTGTTTTTTATTGCTCCCCATCAAGTATTCCTACGCTACCTATGAAAGACTTTGTTACATTGCGAAGAGCACTAAAAGCTGTCAGTAGGGCGAGTGGTACATCGCTAAGCCAACTCATTAATTTCGCTGTGGACAGACTGTTGAATTCATTCAAGAAATTGGCGAAAATCATCTTGTCAGACGACTGTTTTATTCACACCTCTCCCCTTGCATCTCATCAGGTAAGACTAGAAGTAATTATAAGAGACTTTATGCTCGGACGACTAAGTATAAAATTCGATACTTATTTTGTGATAATAAAGTGTTAGGCATCGGACTACAGACTTACTGAAAAACGCCAGATAAACCCCTATTTTTATTCCTTCTATCATTAATACATTGTTGTGACTATTTCTATTAATTTCTACTTTTAATTTTACATTTATATACTACTGACATTATTACTAATGTAAATGTTCGGTTAATTATATCCCCTCTTACCGTGTAATGCAAAGAGAAAACTGAATGCAGTATGGTGCTATATGCTGAGAATTCCATACTGTGTCAGAAGTACTGTTTGAAATTAATTCATTATTATTATTTTTATTATTATTACTAACCAGTTAATTTTAAATGGTGGCCTGCCTAAATCACTGGTGACTGGCCCTATTCAGGTAGGCAGTTACCTGGGGTTCTAGTGGGAAGTCGTAATCGGTAGGGTGCAACAAGTCGGATGTGGGGGCAAAAAAAGACATTGGCCAGCGGTCGCTCTATTTCGTGAATTGGCAGAAGTTGGAATTCATGGACTGGTTATTGGATCGAATCTCAGTGGCTGAGTGGTCTACGAGCTAGCTTGCCTTGTAACCAGAAGGTCCTGCGTTCGAGTCCTGGAGGTGAGTGCGTACTGATGAAGAGTCCCAAACCAAACTAACGAAACAGCTATCCAATTCTCCCAGATTTTCCAGTGGTACTCTAAATGACGTCAGCTCATGATGAAGTCCTGTAACCAATAAGTTTTCTGTCCATCAAAATGCATTGTATTTACCCTATGCTTGCAGTAAAACATTTTTGAAAAAAAATCCTCCCCGGACTATCTATTTCTCATGATTATAATTATTTAGACATTTCAACTAACTTTTTAAATTAGTATACGTATTTCCTAGACTTTATGTCAGTAATTTTACATCTGCATACCGCAAGTTGATTTCTTAGCTCTATTATTTGTCTTTGGACTTGTATAATCTTTGTGTTTGTGTGTACATTTGCAGTGTGTTCTTCAACTATATAGGTTTGTTTGAGTTCGTCTTGAAGGTCATTCTGACTTGGGAATCGTTAGTTTGTGATTTTCGTGGACAGAACTTTCGATTCCACCTCGTTGGGAATATTCTCCTTGATTCTAAGTGACCTTTCACAGTTGAAATTCGGTCAACTAAATTTGTCTTACAATATTTTGTTTTGTACGGCAATGTTGAAGAAAAATGTGAGTAATTATTGTTTAATAGAACTGCTAAAATATTGGAAAATAGTCGTCTTTTCCCTGAGTTTTGAATGTTTTGTGGTAACGCATATCTCAAAGAAGTTTTGTCATTTAGAAAGAAAAAGGATTGAGAGAAGAAATATTTACTTCTCAATTAGATCCTCATCTCTGGCTCTACTCTAATACATATATCCATAGCATTTTTATTACAATACACAACAATTTACCAATCATCAAGTGGCACTGATATGTTTGTTAACAATAATTAGTCGGTATCAACATGTCAAGGCGCAGGGGATAATTAAAGAAGAAAATCATTACACAAAATTAAAAGGTGGAAATGGTTACAACACGTGGATTGCATAATGCATAATTTTGGAAAACTGAAGAGTAATTAAGGAATAAGCGTGTGCACAGGTCGATTGCGTAGATGATTTTCAAAGAAGATAAAACGATTTATAGAATGATAATTTGTAACGAAGGCTGAAGTAGTCAGAAAAATAATAATAAAATAATTTGGACAATTACAATTTTTAAAGATTTAGGGCGAAGTAGTCTAGTTTATATATTCATGTAACGATGGCCAAGCTAAGGAAAGTGGCTGTACAAATTTCTTCTGAACACGCACAGGTTTGGCTTCTTTAGGTGGATTCCTATTGATTCAGCTGTCGTATGTAGAAGACGGACTCGTAAAGCAAAATTAAGTTTGGTCGAAATGTGATAAATAATTTTAAATGCTGTATTAACGTCAACCTTTTGCTCACTATCTACAATGTGTGCTAAAATGGAACTACGAATAGATCTTGTTTGTTGCTTGCTTAACCACGCTAGATGATGTTGAGAAATACGATGATGAACCTGCCTAACTGTACGCCCTATGTGGATAGCTCCGCAGCTGCAGTCAAACTGGTAGATACACAGCGAGGAGGCAAATTTAGGTAGTTTATCCTTATTTCTCGAAAGTAGAATAAGGTTGGTTGTGAAGAGACAGCCTACTTCTGCTGTATAATTAGCCCTTTTAACTGCATTCTTCAGGCGCTGTGTTATTATTTCGTTGATGTTGTCACAGAGGAACTGAAATTTTATGAACAGTGGGTTTTTTTCGAAACTGTTGCCATACTGACTCTCCTAGGTGCTGAGATCGTATTTTTCTCAATGAACTTATCTGGATAACCATTTGTCCTAAGTAATTCTCTAATAATCTTAAGCTCCTCATTGAAGCAGTCGTCTGAACAGATTAACCTAGCTCTATGAACTAGACAATTCACCAGGCTACGTGTATATTTCAAAGGTACAAAGCTTAAAAAATGAGTGTACTGACCTTTTGTTGTAGGTTTTCTATACACATTCCTTCTTAGTGTGCCATCTTCTTCCCTTGCCATGAAGACGTCTAGGAATGAGATACTGTCATTACTTTCTTTTTCCATAGTAAAGTTTATTGCTGAATGGGTATCATTATGCTTGTCAAGGATGTTCATTGCATCATTCTCGTTTGACCCTTAACCGGAAATTATTCTGGAACTTTCCCATCCATTTGATATAAATCACGAATGTACAGCCTAGATGATAACTTCGTCGAAAAGAAAATTTTCTTCGCTGCAACTGTCTTTTTATTCCCTATGATCAAATGTGTATATTCCGTGATTTGAATCAGAAATGTATCAGCCATATATCGACAGTAGAAATTCAAGTCATTAATTACTCCTCTCAGTGGCCCATTCTCTAACTTAGCAAGGAAAAATTCAGCTCGGACTAGACATAATGGGGAACCCATAGCTACACCATCAGTTTGTCTGTAATATTCCTTATTGAACAGAAACAAGAACATTCATTGTACATCTTAAAATAAGTTCCTTCAAGGAGGATACAGAAATGCCAGCTACACCGTAGGATGTGGAGGTAAGTTTCTTGCATTCATACAATAACCGAATAAATATAGTCGCTGCAATGCTCTCGCATAACTTCAAACAAGTTTCTACCTGTCGGTATGAAATTTTTGAAGGAAACGGACGAAAAATATTGTAAGGTGGTGCTGGGACATTCCTAGTATGGAAGGATACTGCTTCAGACGATAGATTATCGGTTATTATATTATTTGAAGATTCAGCTATGAAACTTCGCTGAAAATTCTCTCTTGTGTCCAATTGCACTATTCAGAATAATGCAATCATTATTAGTATTATAAATGGTTAAATATTTATTTTATTTATTTCTTCTCCTGTTCCTTTACGTTCCCAGTGGAACTTAGGGCTTCAGGCTAGGATGTTGAAGTTTCAGTAGCAGTGGTGTTTATTACTTTTAAGTGGTGGAGTTGCTAGCATCATACCCAACCTTCTCTCTTTACCAGTCTCATTACACTGCCTTGGCGAGGTAAAGGAGTGCGTTGGTGGCCAGGGGTCGAACCCCGAACCACATGAGGCTTGGTTGGCGAGCATTCTACCGTTAAGCCACCGGCGTACTACCACTAAACTTAATAATTCATATATCTTTGATGTGATCACCGTTGAAACTTCGTCTATGACTACGGGTGTGAAAACAAATTAACGCCGAATTAACTGTTATAACATGACTAGGAGAATTTCGTAATCATGGATGAACTTCAAGTTTAAATAACCAAAAGATCAAAAAAGAACCACTTTTAGAGTGAAAATTATTTATTTATTTATTTGCAAAGTTGACTACATCTAAGGAATGACTGTATCAAAGTTATGTATATGTGTGTTAACGAAAGTCATAATCAAATTTCACTTTGGATTATGATAATCTGTGATGACATTCCCGTTTCCTTGTAGAATTGCTAATAAAGCTTTTCTATAGTCCCCAGTAGACATTCGTTTAACATTATCAGATAAAGATCCTTTGTATTTCTGTTCGTATTTTTCATCAACGGAGCGCAAATCAATCTGTAAAGAATAGAAGGTTATGATACAGTGTAGGATTAATTGAAGAACATTTTGGCATATACGATGTACTCAAAATATATGGAGCCTCATGTTAGGATTAAGTGAAACTCAGCCCCGTTACCATATTTTAGAAAGTTCTATTAGTGCTACTATAAAAGAAGCAAATATATTCACTCAAATTGAATATTAAAAGTCTGTCATATTGTTGGTGAAGCTGTTGTTTATTTGCCTTGATTTTGTACAGTGATTTGGTGGCTGTAAACTATAGCAGCCCGAACTGAAACTATCTAGCGAACGGATAAATGACCTTGACAGCGACGGCTTTGACCAGTCAGAAACCTCTATAGGGCGAAGTTCAACAATAGCGTCTCAGGAGTGCGAACGCTAAAATGACCTTGAACGCTTGCTAGTTGTTGGTTGAGGAAACTTACGATTATTCTAGCGCGAAAATGAACAGTGTTCATTTGCTCAGATGCAAATTTCACCCAGATCACGTATTTCAATACTGTCTGGATAATGGATTGATAGGACGTTCTCGTATATGTATATATATGGTGCTTCAATGAACCTGCAACCGTATTCCCAGGTCATTGATGGATATATATTTAGATGTACAGAGTGTAGGAAACGAACAAGTGTTAGTACTGGTATGTGACACTCTCAGTTAATTGTCTTCTAGGAACTTTCTTTGCTTAATCTAAACTTTCCTTGACGAGTATGCTGTTTCTATGCCACTAGTGAATTTTGAAGTCCAGTGTGAGGTAAACTGCCGCTCAGACAGCTAATACGTTGAAGTCTACTGTGCACTAGTTCCAATTTTGTCGAGATTTAGCATCGTCGAAAATGAAAGGTATTACACAAGTGTTGAGAGGAGTCGGTGTTGTCGTTCATATCGACGAAACGGTGCTTATAAAGAAGAAATACAATTGCAGACGTGCTAGAGATAATAACGTTTGGGTATTAGGAATTTACGACACCCAAATTCGGAAAGGATTTATTGAACTGATTCCAGACAGGAGTGTCAACACTCTTCTCCCTATTATTCATAGACTTGTTTTGCTTGGCACTACCATACACACGGATGGATGGGCAGGATATAACTGGTTATCCGATTTGGGATATATACACCACCGAGTTAACCATTCTGATGATTTCGTCGATCCCAGAACCGGTACTCATACTAATTCAATAGAAGGTTTCTGGGGAAGATTAAAAAATTGAATAAGAGCAATAAATGGCTCTCAAAACCAACTTGCTTTTAGTCACCTAGATGTATACATGTATAGGAATTGGTTTAATTTAAAAACTGACACTCCCCATTATAATTGGAACATATTTTTATCTCATATTAGACAAAAATGTTTTTTTTTCATGCTCTTTTATGTAAATATACGTAATCTTCTGTGCAAAAACCCCTCATTTTCCTGATTGGTTGACTCAAGGTCACTCATGCGTTCGCATCCCTTGGGACGCTATTGTAGAACTTCGCCCTCTGTAGAAACAGTGCATAATTTCAATAAAACGTTTATATAAAAGTAATGCAATGTTAAAAAATAGTTACAAAGGATAACGTTCTTGTGTACATTCCAAAAAATACTTCCCAATTTCTCATAGGAGTCTTCACAGTTATGTTTAACCAAGCCCTGTACATAAACTCATTGAGATAACTGTATATCATTGCATTTCTTGATCCATTCAAAGATCTCATCCGTTTTTTTGGGGTGACTCCAAAAATTTTCGATGGAATTAGTTTGAGTTCCATAGAAAGGATTGATGAAATCATTTGTATGGTTGACGACGTGATGAATACAGCCTAGGGTTGATAGCTGGCTATAACTACTCCATTCATCTGAGTGAATAGTTGTTCCAGGCATCACTAAACGTGGGATAATAGGCAATAAGATATTTACACTGCGATTAGGGATCACCTGAATTTATCCTTTGTGGAGGGTGGTGTTATTTATCCCCAACATCCACTGCTGATTCGCACCCAATCTCCCTCTATTATATTTTCTTTTTATCAGCACTGTCTCATCCACGTGAACAATGACGCCAACTCCGCCAAGTACTTCAGTCAGCCTGTTCATTTCCCATGATGCTATGTCTCTGCAGTACTGGCACCATTGCACTGCAGACACTTCTGAATTTTCTGATTCACACACTGTTGCTGTTACTGGTCTTTCAAGCACCCAGTCATGACACATCATTAAAATTTTCGTTAGAGGTAATTTTGACTTGACGAAAAAAGTACCTATGGAATCTGTAAACCAAAAAAGAACGGCATACCTTCTCGAACTCATCGCACCTGTAAATAAATCCATCAATCAACGCACCTAGTATATCTCTGTATACACATGACACCTCCACATTTGCATTTTTTCTACCTTCCTATCAGTCTGTTCTCCAAACAGTAATCAAAAACAAGATCTGGAGCGAATTCGCGACGCAAAAGGTGTACAGCATCCATGCATAAGCCTGGATAATGCGGAGTCACCTAATTAGTTGCTCAAAGTCATTTATCCGTTCCCTAGGTAGTTTCGGTTTGGGCTGCTATAGTTTAGAGTGACCCTGAGGGTAGCACTGGACATGTTGTCTCCAGAGATAATTAAAGATTTGGAATTCAGCTATTCAACTCTGTGAACACAACAAAACCTAGAACATCCACCTGTCCTTCATATCTTCTCTAATTTCATTAGAGAATGATACAGTGAACTAAAATCACATTCGTAGCCGAACATGTAAGATAAAGTAGAATGCTGAGGAAATAACCCTCTGATCCTAAGCTGAATTTCGTTTTTGAGCATTCTCAAAAGCTGGAAATGTTTGACGGTTCCCGTAAAAAATGAATCTGGAGTCATTCTTTTTTCATCAGATCCTTGCTTTAGAAGTAAATAACTGCTGTCTACGTCAACAGATTAGTTGGCAAAGATATCAGTGATAGGGCTCAATTGAAAGAAGCAACAACAACAAAGAATAGAAAGCTTGTTCAAGTACCTCAGAACGAAGAATCAACCAACGCTGGAATCCTCTGTCATCTGTATTTCGATTTTTGAAGGCATTGTGTAAGATATCGGCCATTAATGAAGGTTTGTCTGTTGCATAATCATCTGAAATGAAATAACACAGAGAAGAATGTGGAATGCATTGAGAACAGACGAGAATGCGTAACATCACAATAAAAGTTTTCTGCAGTCTTGTGTCGGCTGGTCAAACTACCTCTCAGTGTTAACTCTGATAAATAGAATTTGAACTAGGAGTTAAGAATTTGCATTCACTTAGTTATTAGAAAATAATCCGTATGAAAGCTTCATGGTGTGATTTTAGCTGGTAAACATAACATTTATTATGCAGAGAAAAGAAGTCAGTACAACTTCTTACTACAGCATATTTGTCTGACTGATTTCATGATGGAACTTTTGCAATTCGGAGTTCAAGAATATTATATTATTATTCAACTGGACGCACTCTTTTACCTTACTAAGCCAGAAATAATGCTGGTGCCACTAGCTTGAAGCCCTATGTTCCACTGGGGAACGTGAAGGAAAAAGAATTCAACTGGAACATAGAGCTTTAGCATCACATAACCAAATCACTCTGCAGTATGTATTAGCTGGCTCCACCACTGACCTCAGGATCAGGACCAACTTTTCGTTTCCCATTCGGGTCCCACTCCAGGTTATGGCTAGAGCACAATGTCACTCGATGACATCCTCAGCAAATGTCTGATCCACCTCAATTTCTGTTGCACAGCAGGTTCTTGGATGGATTGTTACCAAAGTTCCTTGTTGCTTATTATTTCTGACCATTGATCTTCAGTATGGAACCAGCGAAGGCAGGTGTTGATAAAAGTATGTAATAGCATGTCGGAATCGCTCTTGATGATTTACAAGTCAAGTCTTTGAACTATATGGAAGCACTGAACGACTTGACATTAGTGTTGAAGATCCGGTTTTTGTTCTTTAAGCTGAGTCCAGTAGATTTCCATACCGACATCAGACTGTGTTGCTTTTTCTATCATGGCTTTTAAATCTTTATCCCTGTCACCCATAGTTCAAACGATACTGTCTGGATAAATAAAATATTCATTTTCCTTTAGACAACAGTGACAATGCCTTTTGAGAATGGATAACTTGGTGGTTCATAGTAAGAAAATTTACTCCTCAAATAAAAGGCAGTTGAAGAATCCCAATCTGGGACGATGCAGCTCATTTTACACTTTAGAGCTTCAGGTATTCTTTAGTTAATGCTAACTTATTATTAATAATTTTTAGTCCAAATGTTGTATTAATTCACACCCAGATGAGAATTTTTCAGTACTGGTGAGGTGTAGAAATTTTGAAACTAATAACCTGTAATTCTTAATCCTACCCCGGCGTGAGAAAATTAAAGCGGCATAACGAAGTTTAAACGAGTCAGTGGTTTTGAAATTGTACATTTCGACGTGAAAGTTCACAGTCCTTTTCGTTGCAAACGCAAAATATTTCAAATCATCATGTGCGATCAGCCTGATACTGAACATAGATAGAAAGATACTACTGATAGGTTGATATGAGTAGTTAGAATCTACTTGCATCAATCAGTAATTCGCAGTGAGTGAAACAGTTTTCGTGTGCCTAAGTCTCTGGCTAGTTTGAACTGCCTAATGACGTGTGCGCTTCTCAGCTATTCATATTAGTTATGCAATTAAATTTCGTATGATTTTAATCGACCTAACATTCTTATAAATGCAGTGAAAATAGTGACATCCCTAGATATATTCCAGTAGTCAACCAACCGCGTTAATCTGTTATTTGGGGCATATAATATCAGCATGTGTGGTAAATTACACTTCACTATGTTCGCTGTAAACCATTAGTCACAAAACCCACGAAGGTTTAATTACTAAATCCATATACACTTTCTGTCCCTCCCTCCCAAGACCAACTTCTTCATTTAAATCTGCACTGCAGTGGAGATTTATCGTCAGAAGTACTAAGGAAGAGCTTGTCTCGGTTACTGAAGAGAACCTCCTTCTCAGCTGAACTCCAGCTTACATTTCCCAAAATCCCAATCATTCGTATGAACGTGAGGAATAAGCTGCCACTGCAGGTTTCATCAGTGAGTATCTACTAATTCATCTGCTCCTGTGGAGATACGTATGTCGACAGTACTCAGCGCTTGCCATCCAGAAGTATCACTGAACACTTACTCTAAAAGTTTTGTAGAGGAGGAAAAGGTTCCCCCTACACTTCTGTTCTGGAACACTTGATCGACTCTGGACACCCAAAAGCCAATTTCAGAGTCGTCTACAGAGTACTTGAAAATCTTGAAAGGAACAATATAAAACAAACTTCTTCAAACAACAGAAACGTTGTCAATCCACATGTTAATTCCTAAACACAGAATACAGAAGTTTGCCCAATCACTAAAACTACAATGGACCTAATTTGTCTTAATACTGGTTACGTACTTTGTGGTAATCCGAAATTTTTAGTTTTTGGATTATATTACTTTTTTTTACCCATCACCCACTCCTTGTGACACAGATCTTAACTTGACTTTCACTCAGTTTTTAGTTGAGTTCTGTTCAATTCCGTCAATTACATTATGTGATACAATCTACTTATTTAATTTTATCTTAGTTTCTGCCAGATTATAACTCCCTCTATTACGTAACTGTTATCTAAAAGTTACACTTTTAAAAACAAATGATTGGAGACATTCCGTTTGTTACTGAGATAATTTACTATACCTGTGTGATTGTAAAGCTTGAGAATAATGTCGGTGAAACGATTAGCTCTCGACAGAATGCTTTTCCAAGTATTGGTTTGTAGGGATTTTGTTTGATTGGTTACAGGATTTCATCATGGGCTGAAATCAGTTAGAGAACCATTGGAAAACAGGCAGAGAGTACTGAACAGCTGTTCATTAGTCCTAGTTTGAGACTGTTCATCAGTAAGCACCCACCGCCACTGTTCGAACCCAGGAACTTCTGGTTACAAGGCTAGCGAGCTCGTAGACCATTCATTAGCCACTGGGACACGATCCAATGGCCAGCTCATGAATTCTAACTTCTGCCAATTCACGAAACAGCGTGACTGCTAGCCAGTGTCTTCGGCTAGTATTTGTACTCACACCCGACCTGCTGCACCCTATTGGTCACGACTTCCCACTAAAACTCTAGGGCCAGTCGCTTGTGAGCATCTCATCGATATTCAAGTATTGGTTTGTAGGGATTTTGACTGATTGGTTACAGGATTTTTGTTCTATATGATTCGGTGGGGATTTTCAAGTTACTAGTTAAACGAAGAAAACAAGCAATCAACTTACACAGTGCTAGAAGTAAGTCACGAATTCGACCAGTAGTTCCTGTTACAATGTCTCTCCTGAGATTTCGGTTGTACTTCTGTTTCAATGAAGAGTAACAAACAAAGGAATCAGTAAATAAGCGTGATTTCTTAACGAATATAAAAAAGACTGAAAACAGTAGGTCGAATAAGGAACCTCTTGTTATAGTCCTGAGAGTAAGTAACTTCTCATCTGTGATCCATAGAGAAGGTTAAGTAGTTTGGGTCGGCAACCATTACCTGTTATATGAGACACTAGAAGATCTGAAATTGAAATCACTGGTCACATTTACCACGATAGGCTTTTACTCCTCGCTTGCTTTGTTTGTAATCCGTTTAAATTTTAGCATTACACGACCTTTGGTCATCATATTTTCGCCTTTTATCCTCATTTTTAAACCTTGGAGGGGTGAACTTACTTTGATCATAAAGCACAAATGCAGGGTTGTGTCTAGATTCAGTCTGTTTATACCTGCCTTTTGTTTACTTTGTGTGACTTCAAACTTGTTATTTTATACTCTGTACGCCTTAGTTCACTGAAAATATTCAGGAAATGTATTTCATCAGTTAGAATCAGTTTCTGGTTGAGACTTCCTCTTGCGTTATTATGTGCAACTCTTCAGTTAGCAAGAATTTTGTTCTGTGTGAATAAGTTAATTGTTCATAGGATTGATAAGAGGAGAGTTGACTGTAGACTGCTGAGAACTATCCTTCTGCTGACTGTAGGATATTGTTATGTAGAGGTGGATTTTGCTGTCTACAAGAAGTGTTATTATAGATTCTAATTATATGCTGTCGCGATAAGAGATCAAACCGGGTTCACTACATAGGATCAAATTATTTTTTCGTCAAACCGGGAAGTCTTAATGAATAAAATAAAAACCGAATATTTTTGAAATAACCGCTCATTAATAAACCATAGGTATATGTAAGATGACACGCAAAATCGTGAAGCGTTACATATTCTTTGTGTCGTGGATATAGCGGTTAGGACGCTCGCCGACCATGCACATGGTCCGGGGTTCGATCCCCGGCCGGCGCGCTCCTTTACCTCGCTAAGCCAAAAATAATCCTGGTGAAGTGGAAAGGTTGGGCATGAGGCTAGCAACCCCATCCTGTAAAAATAAACACTGCTACAGAAACTTCACGCCACAAGCTGGAAGCCCTATGTTCCACTGGGGAACGTGAAGGGAAAAAAATATGTAGGTCTTGTTTGCCATGCTTTGCAGGAATTTGATACAAATCAAACGAATTCATGCTGTCTTTTAAGAATTTGAACCTATAGACTTCCGTTGATATTTTTATGGCTAGTTATTCTAAATTATTTCGTATGTTTATTCACTAATTACTTCCTCATTGCCTAAATTACATTTCAAGTGCAATCGTGGATTGATGTCGGTTAGAGTGTCACTGGAAAACCTGGGAGTACTGGTTAGCTGTTTGTCTCTAGTTTTAAATTCTTCACCAGTATGCCCTCACTGGAATCGGAACCCAGGATCTTCAGGTTACAAGACCATTCAGCCACTGGGACCAGAATCAATGGCCCATGAATTCTAACTTTTACCAATTTTTGACTTTAGCGTGACTACCAACCAATGTCACCGCACTAAATTCACCTGAGACCTAATATCAGTAAAAAGTTTGAGCATTTTGGAGTTGATCAAATAAAGTATAATTATATTTCAATAGTTTACACACAATGATAAGTTTTGTTATTGGTAATTGTGCTCGAAATATTGCCAATAACAAAACTTATCATTGTGTGTAAACTATTGAAATATAATTATACTTTTTTTTCACCTGAGACGCTTTGTTTGATCCCCAGAGTAGTCATGAGTGTGTACTGCTAAAGAACCCCTTACTAGGAGGAAAGATCTGTTCATTACTCCTTGGTTTTCAGTGCCTCCCTAAGTGACATCAATCTACGATCATACTTGAGATAAATCTCAAATCGCTACAGAGTGACTCTTCAAATAACATTACTGACAAATATCATTTGTGAAAAAATGGTTTTTCCAAACAACATTGTTGTTAGAGGATTCTGGTTTACTGTGAATTGTCATTCAAAAGTTAAAATTCTCAAGCTGAATATTAGGAAAATATATTTACCGAAAAGTAAACTAATTTTACACAAAGTCCAATTGTA